AGACCACCTTATCCCCCACGGTACCCTCGTTGAAGTCCCGATCTCGTGCTCGTGCGGTGGAAGCATATTCCAGCACAATAGCCGATACACCGTCAGAGCTTCCGATACGTATTTCAGGCAAGGTTTTAAAGACATATAGATATATCTATGTTTTCAAGGATTTGGTCTGATATATCGATCCGGAGGGATAATCATAGTTAATAAAATATCCAGGGCAAGGTTAGAAATTTTCGAACAGAAAGACAAAATGTTTTTTTGCTAATTTTAATTTATATAATCTTCAAGTTCTAAATTTGTAGATGAGGAGAGGAGAAGTTAGAGAAAAGATTTTAATACATACCTTTTGAATTATTAAAAACGAAGGCAATTGCGACTCTCATATTACTATAGTAAAGGTAAATACTAATGAGTTCGAACCCCACCCCACGTGTTGTACTAAAAAAAATTTCAATAACATTATTTTTTTAATGATTTTCAAATATGTCTATCGCTCTTTTTAACATTTGTGTCTTACATGTATTAAGGATTTCTACATTGATATAACTGCTACTCTCATTGTCAATTGATTTTGAAATGTAACTCTATGAATATTTAAACTCGTTATTGCAGGATCGCGAACGAAACGTACCAAGGGTTGACGACTTGTCAAGCAATGACGGGACAGAACTATTACGAGGGCGTGATCCCAGAGGGGACAGAGGTGATGGTGCCGGTGAGATGCGCGTGCCCAACGGGGAACCAGACGAGGAACGGCGTGACTGCGTTGAGTGTTTATATGGTGGAGGTGGGAGATACCATAGACTCCATTGCCAACACTTTTGGAGCTGAAATACAGAGCTTGTTTGAAGCAAACCAGCTGCTGAAGAGTAGCAAAATATACCCTTTTACGCCTCTTTTGATTCCATTGGATCATGAGTGCTGCCAAGTGAATTCTCGCTACTTCTTCTGCTCAAAATCTTGTGATTCCAATCACCTCTCCAGCTGCGGATCACCAGCCAAACTGTCAGTAACTCTAATAGGTCAGTTTCTCTCTCTCTCTCTACAAAGTAGTTTTTCTTCTAAACTATATATGCATTGGATCATGTGTTGGATTTAATAATAATTCCTATAGTTTTATATTAATTAGACTTCAAATATACTGTTATAAACTATTTTTGTTGCTTAATATATGATTTACAACGTTTACTTTTAGGTGTTGGAAGTGGGATGGCATTGTTGGTTTTAGTTCTTGTGGGGTGCAAAGTACATCAATGGATGAAGAGAAGACAAGACAAGGTTTACAGAGGGAAGTTTTTCAGGAAAAACGGGGGCCTCTTGTTGTTGCAAAAGCTTAACGAAACTGGCCAGAAAGCAAAAATATTCACCGTGGAGGAATTGGAGAGGGCGACGGATAATTATAATCAAAGTCGATTTCTTGGTGAAGGAGGGTATGGCACAGTTTATAAAGGGATGCTCCAAGATGGTATGATAGTTGCGGTGAAGAGGTCTAAAATAATAGAGGGAAAATATATGGAGCAATTCGTTAACGAAGTTATTATCCTCTCTCAAATTAATCACAGGAATATTGTTAAGCTTCTTGGTTGTTGCTTAGAAACCGAGTTTCCTTTGCTGGTGTATGAATTTGTTCCGAATGGCACGCTCTCCCACCACATCCACAAAGAAAGCTTGGAGGACTCATCATGTCTTTCTTGGGAAATACGTTTAAAGATTGCTTGTGAAGTTGCGGGAGCTATAACTTACATGCACTCAACCACTTCAATCCCTATTTTTCATCGCGACATCAAGTCCTCTAACATACTTTTAGATGATAATTATAGTGCAAAAGTTTCAGATTTTGGAACATCAAGATTCGTGCCTTGCAATCAATCCCATTTAACTACAAGTGTTCAAGGAACTTTTGGCTACATGGATCCGGAGTATTTCAGGTCAAGTAAGTTCACCGATAAAAGTGATGTCTACAGCTTCGGAGTGCTGATTGTGGAGCTTTTAACGGGAAAGCAACCATTTTCCTTTGCTAGAGACGAGGGAAAGAATTTACTTGAGCACTTCATTTCAATGGATAAGGAAAATCAAGTGACTAACCTTCTTGATGATGAATTAGATAGAGAAGAAAATATGGATGTTATTCTTTCTGTAGCAAAGATTGCTACCAAATGTTTGAGATTGAATGGAAAGAAGAGGCCTACAATGAAACAAGTGCTTTTGGAATTAGAAGGATTGAGAAAATCTCGAGATATTTGTTTGGAAATTGTTGAAGAATGTGAATCACTGCGATTATTTTCCTTGCAAACCACATGGAGCACTGGTGAACAAGAAGACAGCCCAACATTATCCTATTTTGAAATTGAAAGAATATAATGTGATATGTTAATACATTTGCTTTCACGTGAAGTATTTATTTTGGTCCCTGTACTCTTATTTTCATTTTGATCCCAGTATTTTTCATTTTTGTCTATTTTCGTCTATGTATTTTTTTTCGAAATCGATGTTGTGTGGTTTAGCTATAGATCTCTATAACAAGGGCTCATTGCATGGGCTCGAATCCAAGGCCTCATGGTAAGTGATACCACAAGGCGCAAGATCCTTGCCACTACGTCATCTCCCAAGGGACTAGTCTATGTACTTTCAAAACATTTGTTTTGGTCTCTATACTTTTGTAGAAGGTGATCGTTTGAACTCTTCATTTTATTTTTTATCTCATTTTTAATCACAATTTTAACACAACTCGAGACTTAATGTATTTACTAAAATGTAATCATAACTTTAATTAGATTAAAAAAGTTTCCATTGTGTATAGATGTTAGGTTCGAAAATTTATAATTCAAACCAAAATGGTCTAAAAGTAGTACAGTGATCAAAACGAAGAACTAAAGTTAAAAGCAAAAGACCAAAATAGCATTTTAAGCTTAAGTATTTTATAAATTTTAACTGATGTTACAGTATTAATTTTGGTTCCTGAGTTTAAGGATAGGTTTCTATTTGGTCCATGACCTTTACATAATGTTTTAAAAGGTCTCTAGAGTCAAACTTTTGCTAGTGTCAGTAATGGAATGCTGATGTGGCATTGGTGAGTTGGATATTTATTTTTAACTTAATAAGCATTTTATTTCCTTAGAGTAAAACTTTTGTCAATGTTGCTCATTTACGTTGATAGATAAGAGGTTGCGTGCCAGCGCACGTTACCACAAGTAATACAGTGAAAAAAAGTATTTATGAGTTTGTATCCACAAGGATTTTGATTAAAAAGTGTTCCGAAGAGTTTCAAATCACATCAGTTTTCTTGGTCACAAAAGTAATTGTTGTAGTGGTGTTTTGGTTTTCAAAACAATAAGCTTCTTATTAAAGACAACCCAACTTTGGAATTCTTATGATTGAACCACCGAAAAGGAAGGTGCACCTTGTTGGTATAGGTAGTAACTATCAATTCTTTTAAGCTTTTTCTTAACCATTCTTTCATGGTCTCAAGATCCCTCTCATTTGGATGTGGCATCGGTTCATTCATGTACCCCTCCTCTCTAGTCGGACATCATACCCTATCAGTATTAGATTGCAGTTTAGCAAACTTCTCAATGACTAACTTCAAGAAATCACTTAAGAAATACTGTCGAGTTAACCAGTAGCGTCAGACGCTACCTGCAACTTTTTCTTACGAAGAAAACAGAGAGACCGAAAAACTAACTTAGCTCATGAGTAAAGTACAGAAAATACTAATCAAAATGAATGACATGCTTGCCATTGATTGAAATTGAGTTTTAACAAAGGGAATTCAAGTTAACAAAGAGTTTTAGCTTAACCTTCTAATGTGATCATAATAGGCTCCAAGCTCCAAGAGTCAACCTACACCAACAAGGAGAAAAGGCTAGAAGAGAGACCCCCAAAACAAAGAAAACATCATTGGACCCAACAAAAAATTTTGACAATTTTGAAGGCCAATGAAGAACATACGAGGGACAAGAGGAAGCAAGGACTTGAGGAAAAACCAAACGAGTGGCCACACCTCAAGGACATACCAAGGGCATGCCCCAAGGATAAGCCAAGCGCACGACCGCATGGCCACAAACGCCTGCGCGTAGGGCCAACTAGATGCATTCCAACGCGCGCGCGCCCCTGCTGCACGCATGTAACGCCCCGCGTTACTCAGGTTAGCTTGCCTCGAGTTCCGGGAAATTTTTATAACAAAATAGATATTATTTATTTATTTATTTCATTTTATTTTATTTGGTTCATCAGTTATCTTTATTTAATTTAAGTGTGGCATCTCGGTTATTGTGTATTGCTACAGAATTAGTCGTGAGTTAGTGGCGTGTATTTATTTATTAAATTATGGTTTAGTACGGATTCCATTATGTGACACTTGTTTTGGGCCATTGGGCCAATTACGAAATTATATTATTGGCTTGTTTTAACAAGGAGGGGTTGGGTAAGTGGGCCTTCAATAACAGGACCCAAGCCCAAAAGAGTTAAAAGTTTAAAACAAATAACCCTAGCCCTTGTTCTTTTTCCTCTTCTTCTTCCTCCCTTTCCCTCTCTTGTTGAAGCCGCCGGCCGCCCCCCACTCGGATTCTTCTTCTCCGGCGAGCAGCTTCGTTCAGGCGAAGCGACGAACAGCGGCAGCATCGGAGCA